ATATATAAAAGAAGTCCAGTGAAAAAAGTCCCTTTTTGTTATTTTCTTTGTAATTTTCTTCACTGTAATATTTTTCTTCTTGTTGACAGAGAAAGTTTCTACCAACAAAGGATGATTTAAGGATGTTTTAAGAAGTAAGCTAAAGTGAATGTGCAGGTTTAGCAGGGTTTTATTAGGACAGGGGTGAATAAAGATATTGTTATTACCCACATTTTCCTAAACCTGCAAACCCGGGAAGTTCAACTCGCAACTTAAATATTTAGACTAAAGCAGATATCAAATGCTTTTTAAAAAAAATACCTGAAACACTATTGCTCAGTTCTTTTTTTATACCCCCGTACACAAATTTACTGGTCAGCCAGAGAAGTTTTCAGTGCATTAGGAATAAGTCATATGTATGTTATGAAGATTGTTGACAGGTACAGAGAAAATGATTCATTGTGAATTAAATTAGTTACAGACATGTTATCCCTGCAATGACGCATCTGACTTACAAAAAGTGTGTTCTCTTGCATTTTCTTGCTTTTTCGGTTTTAAGCTTCTGTTGTATGGTACATAAAAAGAAGTATAGGTATATTTACAGAGAACACGATTCAGTGAATTAAATTAGTTACAGACATGCTATCCCTGCCTTACAAAAAGACGTTCTGCCATGACCTGAGAACTTAACTGAGAACCTAAACAGACAACCCAGAAAATAGCTTGTCAACATGTAAACTAGCTATCAAAAAAGAAAACAAACACGGAAGCAATCAGATAAAACGGTCTATTTACCTCGACGGTACCCTGTAAAGGTTTGAAGTCCAAGATTTTAGTGGTTTTCCAGTCATCGGCAGATTCAAAGGTTTCAGTGTTCAAGGATCTTCCACACTGTTCCACTTAACTCTCATGCCGTCACTGCTTTTATTACTGATTCCATTCCTGATCATGGCTAGTGAACTCTCAATGAAGTGAAGCTCTGACTGAAGACAAATAATGGTAAAATGAAAAGAATGAACAGAATATACTCCCTTTCACACACGCAGATGAGTCACAGTAACACCAAGACAACATTCAAAATTCAAAATCATACCGATATACCGTTATTTGTTTCCATACTGCATCAAATTTTTTTCCAGCAGACATTTTGCAACTCACAACTGTTTATCAGAAATATTAGAACAAGAGCTGATAGGATGACTCACTTATACTAAACAAGAAGAGTTCAAATAGCACTACATACACATTTTCTTTTAAACAGCTGTACTGCATGCACTCTGCACTGTCTCAGTCTGCCTACACATTTTCCAGTAACTCAAAGTTAAGATTAAAGTGTTACATTAACAACTGGCTTATACTAACATTGTTAATGATCATCTTAGGGGGGGGAAAAAATAAGAACACTTGTGTCTGAGTCAGAGTGATCTGTTTTCTTATTGATATTTAATGGGAATTTCCTTCCTACAAGGGTCAGACTTACGTTTAAGATGTATCGTGGGGGGGATAGAGGAGGAGAACAGACCGAGGCAAGACTGAAGTGCAGGGCAGACTATTTAAATGTTGGAAACCTGCAAAGAAGCCAGTTAGAGGAGCATATTTCAAGAAATCTAGGTAAGCGATTAGATTTTTTTTTTCCCACAGTAAATGCAAAAAATATCCAGAGGAAGACGTTATTAAGGTTATACTTTTTTTTTCTGCATGTTTTTATTATGTCTTTGTTTATATGGCTTTTTTCTTTTTGTCTATTTAATGAATTCGTTTTTCCTTTTTAGGATGCGTAACATTCTGGCCCTTCTCTGCGTCTTTCTTATGGCAGCTCATCAGAGCACTAGTCTTCTCACAAAGGGAGAATCCATCAGAAACACCATACACAACATTGTAAACATTGCTCAGATAACCCTTGTCCACATTAAGAAACTAAAGGTACCAATATATTGATTATTTTTATGTTAATGCGATTTGCTGTTTATTTTCATTGCGTATACTGTTTTCTGCCTAAATTTTCTCATTGAGGAATGTTTTTATTCAATATTAAACTAAGCTTACGTATTATTTTTTTTATTCTTAGTTGCTGGCTTCACCGATAGGTGTTCCCCCTCCTTCCATTGTAGGACTAAGTAATATAAGCCATGAGCTTGGAGTTTTGGATATTGAACTGCAGCAGCACCCTTTCCTCATCCAGATTCAGGCTGATGTCTCCAGCTTGGAAGGAAGGGTGCGCTCCCTCGCCTTCTCAATGGAGTGTCCCCTTAAGCCCAAACCAGCAGTACAGATGAATGAGAGTGTGTTCCCAGAAAGCCACCTTTACATGACAGTGACAAAGGTGCAGCACTACCTAGAGGAACTTCTTCTCAACAAGGGCAAACTCAAGCTCTGCTAACAAATTTAAGCTTGATGCATATATAGTAAGCCAGGACTTGACCCAGTGTAGGCAAAGGTTAATTTGTCTTTGTGATGCATATTTTCTATACATATAATTACTACGTGGACAACTGTCAGTCGTTAAAAGCGTGCAATTAATTCCAATAACTCAGCGATTTATAATATAATGAAAAAAACTATAAAGGGCATCTTTTATTTCATACAACAAATGTTTTATAGGGTTTTACAGATAGATTAAAATACTCATATATTTTTTAACAAAATACATTTTTTAATACTTTATGGCAAACTGTTTTACACACGTTTGACATGGTGTGTGTTTTGAGGGTCAGGATGGGAAAAATGAGACACTACATAGTACTTGGAGGTTGTGTGAATAAGCATGATTGTGGTCATTTCTGCCAGTAAATAAAACTAATGCAAAGAATTGCATGGTGCTATGAAACTATTGCCAGAGAAAGCATATAAGACCTTTTTGATGACTGTGCAATCTTAACTGTTTTTTAGTGGATGCTTGTCTCAGTGGTCTATTGAGCAGAACCATTAAGCGAAAGGTTATTAGGTTGTGTTTAAAAATGAAATGTGTTATTTTTTTGTAATAAAGTTTGCAATAACAAATTCTGTCATGACTGATGCTCTTCTAAAATTTCAAAGATTTAAGTCATGCATTTAAGACTTTTTTCACTTGTGTTACTTTGATAAAAAAGCTTTATTAAAATATTATGCATGACATAAAATACAGCTAAACTTAATGGTACAATGATACAGTTTTATAAAATAAAACAAGCCAATAGATATAATAAATTTAAATTGCATATATAATAATCTACAATAATGGCATTAATGTATATCATATGCTGGGAGCAGCATTTTAACCAGCATAAAGAATTAAGTTTGTTTTTTATTATAAAATGTAGTTTTCAGCTATCATGGCTTTATTTTATTTTATTTTATCACATCAAGCTGACTACTCGGATGATAATAATATATTTACAAAAAAACAACAACAACAACAATCCTTTGCTTAAACTTTAAAGAAAAAATGATTATTCTTATATAAGAATTTCTACTAAATTGAATTTAAAAAACAAAACAAAACATATACAGTATCATTAGGCAATAATTAGTTCACAATTACCCATATTTCAATCTAATGATTCACTTTCTTCATGAGACACATTCCAATCTAAACACCAAACGGCACAAAAACAGAAACTAACTTACTCATTACTGATTACCCGTGAACTACAAAAGAGCAAGAAGACACTTTAATAACATGCAGCTGTTCAGCAATGAGGAACTACAGAGCAGCCTCTTAGTACGACTGTCTGAAGTGTGTGAGTTGAAGTCAGCAGGACTTCTTTTAGGCTTTTGAAGATTTTTTTACTTCTCATCCAAAAGCCACTTTCGAAGAAACAAACAGAAAAACAAAATCTAACCCTCTAATTTTACGGCCATTAAACAACACTAAGCAGAGTATGCTACACGTTTTGAAAATGTTAAAAACTCTGTACCTTATAAGGGAAATGTAACACAAGTCACCACAAATCGATGATGAATAATCACAGCACGAGTGTAGGTGTGTGTGAAACGCTAACATAAAAAAGTAAACAGAGCTGAAATTCAAGAACCTTGATAAGGTTTTACAAGGTAAATCAACAGTAAATTCTTACAGATCCACTCTTTTACATTCTAAGAATAAGAATAAGAATAACTTTATTTATCCCGAGGGAAATTCTTTTGTCACGTACATGCTCAAAGCAGCAGGAGAGACAGAGGAACAGATGAATAAGATATACAATATATACAATAAGAATAGTAGTATACAGTAATATACAGTAGGGAGTCAGTTCTTCATACTACTCAGACATGCAATAAAATATTACTACATACCTAAAGGGACTAAACACACAAGAGGTGGTGCTTGTAAGCACTTTATGGTAAGTCTGCTTTTTGTGTATTCCAGCTGAGTTCCATGAGATTCCAAAGAAAGTCTAACGATAACACTATAGGATTAAGATTTTTTTTTTTTAATATAGACTTATTGGTGTTCCTTGCCTTTACAGTTATCTACACTTGGCCTTCCTCTGAAAGACGAATGACTGCCAGAAATATCTGTGTGATATGGAGGTGTTTGAGAGCAGTTTGAAAGCATGTTTATTCTATTAACTTATTTATTAAATTTCCATTGATTACTTAGTAAAATTCTCTTTTATGAATCATACATTAGCCCGTGCTAACAGAGCATTTAATTGTTATTTCCTGGCGTGAGAGAAGCTTCTGTAATTAGAGAGGAAATGCAGGGTTATTTTTGTGTTAGATAACAGTGGCAGGGAGGAAACAGTGGGTTACTACTAACAGCTGTACTGAAAAGACGTATATACTTCTGTGCCTTGTTTTTTAGTGCTTAGAATATTTAGGCATTCTTAACATTACATTGAAGTTTCTTAGTTATCTGGTCTAATGTGCCTTTGCTACACAACAATGGCAACAACTGTAAGCTGTTAAGATCATACTACAATAAGAGTGAATAACAGTATGGCTTTTTATCACAGAACATCTGGGATGATGTAGAACATAGTTTTATGAACAATGCCAGGAAATAATCAATAATCAAGCACTTCTGGTTCACTTCTTGTGAGAGTGGTCCTAATATATATGAACAACTCTGAGTAACTGCAGTACATATCATTCCTCAAATGTAAATCACACAGAAGTGAATGAAGAGACCTCAAAACACCATCATAAGCTCCTTTTCACACAGAGAGGGTTGCAGACTGAAATTTTAAAAAAGAAATTCAACTAAAAATATTAAAGTTTTCAAAATGTTTATCTTTGTGTTTTCCTAAAATAAACAGCAAGGGTTGAAAACAGACATACCGACTTCAAAGATGGTTGGAAAGAAGTTAAATGACAAAGGTTTTATGGAGTTTATGTTTTACTTACCAAGAGTGATTGTGCTTTCATAACATGAGTTCATGTGAATGTTTGAATTACACTGAAAATAAAACAGAAAAGACTAGAAAACAGGTCTAATTCTAAGCAAACGTTATTGTAAGTCCAAATTGCTAAAATAGATTAAAAGATATGGTTGGAATAAACATGTGTAGATAAGCTAAACTAGCTAAGATGATATGCTTGGGGTAAGAAAAATATTTTTGCTTTAGCACATATATTTTCAGCATTTCTTTAGTATTAGATTTAACTTTGCTACCCTCCTTTAGTTAAAGACTAACAGTAAGCCTTTGGTTGCACTTATACACACATTATAACCCCATTTATATATTGTATTTTTTTCAACTTGGAATAAATTTCCCACTAACTTGCAGGTCCACCCATTCACATTCAAAGAAAACGATCCTTTTTCCACATTATGAAGTACCCGATTTCATCATTAAAAGGAAAAATTTGGAAAAGAAATATCAGATAGACTAAATATCATAATAATAATAATAAAATAAACAAATATATATGTGTATAAAAGTAATTAAAATGACTTAAATCATAAACCAGTTACAAGACTTCCAAGTAATTATTTTTTTGGCCTTTTTTAACTTTATTAGATGGACACAGTATAGACAACAGGGAGGTGGGGGCAGAGAGAGAGGAGAAGGCCCGCGGCAAAGGGCCGCGGGTGCTACTCAAACCCAGGCCGGCCGTTCTCAGCCGTATGGCATGTGGTCGCTCGCTCAACGCACTGAGCTAAACCAGCGCCGACTTTCAAGAAGTTCTTAATAGAAGTGAGACCATGTTGGCAATTTTTTTATATGGAAAAAACTCACAAGTAAAAGTCCTGTTCCAAGCAGCGCAATTGAAATATTTTATTTCACTCAATGTGCAGCAACCACATCTCTGGTAAGAGTACCAACAGTTTATCAAAGCTTTTGAATTGTTTAAAGTGCAAAATAATCCATAACATAAGCACACAGGTAAATAACATCAGTTAGTTTTTTTTAAATAACTTAAAATACAACTTTACTTAACAGCAAGCAACAAAAATTCAAACAATGAATATGCAAAAGAGTGTTACGGCCCTGAGCCTTGGAGGAAGTGAGACTGCCCTTTTGTTTATGCAAATCTAAGTGTGCCAGGACTCGTGGATGACTGGCTGCTGGGAGTCCTGTGCCAGCCTTCTTTTATGCAGATCAAAGTGTGCCAGACTGCGTGGACGACTGGCTGCCTGGAGATCCAATGACACTCCAAGACCAACTGACTGGCTGATTGTCTGCACCTGGGAGTATAAAAACGCTGAAGATTCACACTGAGGGGAACTGCTGTGCTGACGTGAACATGCAGTGTCCTCCTCGTCTGCCTAGCATTTGAACTCCATTTGTAAACTCTGAGATACAGCTGACCTTAGTTTTATTAGAGTCTTGTGTTTGCTGGCTCAGCTTAGTTAACCCTTAGTTTTTATTCTTGCCTGTTCTTTTCTTTGTGTATTAATTATTTGCCCGGTGGTCTGTTGAACAGCCCCGTCGGTTTTTAGTTTAACGTTTGCAATAAAACCCCTTATTTACTCTGACTTCGTGAGTGGGCTTGTGTATGTTTCTCCCCACCTGTCGCCTAGCAGAGGGGGTCGTAACAAAGAGAGAAAAAATACTTCTCATTTTAATTAATAACAAAGCTAAAGGAAAAAAAATCAAAGTGCATTCTTTTTTAAATCATAAAACTTATTTTGTTTTTTAATATTTGGTGGTGGTGTATTTTTACCTCCCCTCTTAGATTGTTTTTTTACAGGAGGAAATGGGCAGCGAGTTCAAAAAGTGTTGCAGGGTGGAGAGGTAATCATCTGGGTGGCAGCGCAAGTGGGCCGCATGTATCGACTTCTTCCACTTTCTGCTGTGCACGTCCACTCCTCTCTGTCTCCAGACGTCAATCAGCTTTTCCATCACTGCAGTGTTGCACATTGCATCGTTTTCACTGAAGAAGAAGAGAGCGGGAGCGGTAACTGGGCTGTTGTGGAACACTTGGATGCTGGTCTCGTAGAAGTCTGCCGTGTGGGTTTTGAAAAGCCAGAAGTAAAGCATGGCAGTGTTTTTGACAAAGCTCTCAAAACGTGGCACCAGAGTTCTACCAATGCCTGAATAAAAAATGTAAAAAAAAAACAAAACAAATTTTAAAAAAAACACAAGAGAGTAAATAGTTTAGAGTTTTAAAGCTTTACTCTTATGTAGGCCGTGTATCAAAAATAACCTAGACCTATATAGCTAAGTCCTAAAATGGCCAGCTGTAGGACAAAATCAAATATTATTACCTCCTTTTTAGTGCTTTTGTTGTGTTGATGATCCAATCCAATACCTGACAAGTAATGTCATGGCTTACCCTGTAGTCAAACACACCAACAAGTCTGTGCTCCAGTTCTTCTGATTGCAATTCTAGCCTTTTTTCTTTGTAACCTAACGTAACTCTAATTACCAGGTGCTTTGCGTCCATGTTGTCAGAAGTTTACATGCATCATGGGCATGAATTTGATGGAAATTTTGCACTTCTAACAGACTTTTGATTTCTTCAAAATGTTCTTTTTCCTCTTTGGAATCTTTAAGGACTTCAAAAAACAAAAGAAAAGAATTGGGTGCACATGTTTGAATTTATTTTAATTTAAATAAATGAGGTTTTAGATGGTAGTACAGTAACTACACAGTGTGAATGCCAGTTAATTTTTTTTAGAAAACTAGACAGAACTAGCGGTTTAGATAGAACCTGATAAAAATCCCAAATGTTAAATGGATAAACTGCTTGCAGACACAGCCCTAAAGCCGATTAAAACAAGCAGCTAGAGAGAACTCCTGACAAACTGGAGCAGCGGGTCGATCGGCTAATAAATTATGTAAAGATCTGACACACGTATCCAACACAAAAGTGAACTGCAACCGAATATACTAGATCACTCTCACTCACCTATCGCCATGTGGTCCAGTGTGCCGACCACTAAGCTGTCATAGATGTGTCCCATCATCCTCTGTGCCAGGCCTCCATGTTTTTTTGGTTCTTGGACAATGTGGGTGAGGATTTGAGTGAAAGTGTAGCCACCGATGGAAGAAGCATGAACCAGCATCACCCTCCCTGCGAAGGGAGGGTTCTCCAGAATTTTCAGAACCTCCAATCCATACTCAAGCCCCCATCGAGGCCACAGGAAATGCATCACACTGCTCTGAACCAGGAGGACATCCATGCCACGGTCCAGATAAAGGTCCCGGTACTTAGCCATTCCCCCTGGTTGGGCTCCAAGCCAGGAGAAGAAAACCAGAAGTGGACGAGAAGTGGACGAAGAATATGATTGTTTTTGGTAGGAGACAGATGTGTTTGACGGTGAATCTGAGAGGAGTGTAGAGGAGGCTTCTGCAGATGGTGAAACAGGGAACGTGGGGCAAAGAGCTGCAGAATCTTGAAAATTTTTGGCAAGACATTCTGTTTCGCAACCTGTACCAGTGAGTGGAGTGTAATAATAGGTTATGCCATTGCAGATCGTTTTGGCTATTAAATGTCGTCTGTTAACTTTATCCGACTTGGTTGCATCAGTCCTTATGAGGCTGAAAAAGAGGCCAGATTGAAACATGAATACTTTCCACAGTTCACCAGAGAAACATCACAGAACAACAGACTATAACATTCACTCGGCTAAGGATTTGCAAACATATCCTCAGAGGACCCAGAGAACTCAAAGACTGATTATTGTCATTATCTGTTGTGACTGTCACCACAAACAGTAATTCATGGAGAATTCTTTGAGGTTAGATTAACTTTAATTCCCATCGTAGGATTGAAATTATGGACAAACAAAATGACTATAATAAAGTCATCAGTATGGTTTTAAAGGAAGGAAGTTTATTTATTGTGCCAGATGGCCATTTGTTTAACTTCAATGTAAAATCATTTTACCTTATTTAATGCCATCATTTCCATTTTAATGACATTATTTTTACATAGCCTGTGAGTGCAGTGGTTCACATGATCAATTTTCCATGCATTAGACTCAACAGACTGTTTATTTACATGCGTTTTTAAAAGACTTAATTTATATTGGAAACATGTTTACTGTGTTAAGTTTTATTTCTAGATGATGATGTTGAAGCCATGTAATCATCATTAGTGGACTACATGCAACTGAGATGCATAGCAGGCCAAGGTTTTTGCATGTCAGTGTGCACTTCCTATTTGAGTCTGGCCCATTTTATGTGTAAAATTATGTCGTTTTAAAGGAAATAATACAAGAAATCAAATAACTAATTGGAGGTTGTTCGCTACTATGGATGACGGAAAGGAAAAGTCAGCTGTAAACCATCTTCTTGCCTCACCTGAATGAGTGTAACTTTACCAGGTTGTTAATTTGACCTACACAGAAAACACCTGATTAAAGTGACACATTCACCCCTTCATTTCATCGATCGATCCATTTCCGTGATCACAAAAACTTCACGCATGGCATTTAGCTATATATTTGGCTTTATTGTGTCACCTCCTTGTAATTGTACTTTTTTAACACTTTTATAAACCGTAGTTTAAGTCAATTTTGCACCATCTTTCTTGGCTCTTTACTGGTGGTGCTCTATAGCGACACGCTGGCAAAACGAATGCGTGACCTTGGTTGTTAATATTTTTTACTGCGTTCTTGACGCACACCTAAAGCTCCACGCCGATCCACTGATTACCGTATTGTTTGAACATGTGATTAACAGACTTTAGGAAAATGATCCACACATAGCATTACAGCTTGCTTTATACCTCTGCTGCTATTACCAACGCGTGCACTGAGTGAAGTGAATCCTGGGGGATAATTTCAGAGCATTACTGGGTCACGCGAGGACACGTCACATCTTTTGTCTACCTTTGTTTCAGTGGATATTCGTGCAAAGAGCAGTAAGCAGGGCATGCACAAGTAATGCCAAAACAACATGATGTATCTGTCTACATATATATAGATAGACACATATGTATATATTTATATTTTACCCTGTGGAGAACAGCAGGTTTCCCATTCTGAGAGACTTAGGTGTGTCCGTCTCCTCCTGGTATTCTGAAAAAAAATTACTTCTGAGAGTCGTTTAGATATGCTAAGGCGTTATAACGTAGCAACGGATAACCCCGGATGTTTGACTGACAGTCAAGAGTCCGCCTCTCTTCCACCGGCTCTTGCCGCCCCTTTAACTCCCGCAGTCCTCCGTGAGCGGTTTCTTGTCCGCGTGCTGCAGTACGTCTGCTCGGTCCCATCAAACGAGCGGAAACAAAGCGCATAAAAGATCGCCTAACGGATAAGACACAATGTGAAAGCAACAACTATTAGTGATGAATAATATAAGACGAGGTGTTCAATAAAAATTCTTGTTTGACCCTTTAACATCGAAACACGAAGGTATTTATAGCGTCAAGGGCTCAGTGCACCTGGATCCAGTGGCGATAACGCATGCCCTGGTCACACTGACCCGACAGGCTTCATGTGGCTAAATAGGGAAGCACAGAAATCCACAAGGTTATTTGTTCTGACATACCAACCAGTTAACTCCAAAACGTCTGAGGGGCCACGAGATGGAGCCAGAGAGCCACATAGATTTCAGAGAAACAGCTTTGTGCTGATGCAGTGGGTGGCACTGACACGGCAAAAAGGTTGTATTATAGTATATTAAATATTCCCGGTAGCTTCATGTTGTGCACAGTTAGTTGTATGTGTGTGTCATGGTGTTAGTTTCCTGTTCGGGATTTTCCTGTTTAATTTTGCAATTCTTAGTCCGTTTACACGCTTGCCAGTTTTGCTTCCTGTATTTGTTGTTCTTTCCCCCTTTTCTGATCGTTTGTCCTCAATACCTGTCACCTGAGTTTAGTCTCCCTCACCTGTTCCCTATCAGCTGATTGCTCACTTGGGAATAAATGTACTCCCAGTTTTAATTTGTTTACTGTGGAAAGTCCCCTCCCGTGTGTTAATTTGTGTTTGAGTGTGAACTCTGGACTATGTCAGGGACTTTAGCTTTTGCCTGCTCATCATTTTGATTGTTTGCTACATTATATGATTCCCCATGTATAACCTTTGCCTGCTTTTTGTTTTTGTTTTTTTAATTATAATTATTTCGACGTTAAACTTTAACTCTGTTCTCTGTGTGCCCTGCATTTCCATCCTCTTCCTCCATGTCTCTCAGAATAACCTGCCATATATGTTTATTATGTGTTGTCATCTTTGCCTTTCTTTACGGCAAATTGTTCTTACAGCAAAATCTAATTGTGTAGAGTTATTTTAGACAGTGGGGAATTCCAGAATCTAGAAAGCTATGCCAGCAACATGTTGATGTAATTCATCCTTTAAGAAGCTTCCAGATTAAAATTGTTACATCCTGCACAGTAAGACAGTATTAAATATGTTTTATCTACACAAAATATAACAGATATACCAAACTCAGGCATAAATGCCTGAATTCAAAATTATGTAGAGTTCAAGAATCTGAGTCTATGTTCTTAACTTTAAGTTTACATTTGAGATCATCTCAATGGGGATTCCAGAGAAAGTGAGCCATGGCTGTCCTCTGACAGTGCTTTATATGTAGGTAATTTTAAAATGTCACAT